GTAACTGGAGTATTGAAAATAATTGAACTTTAACGGAGGAAATTCTAGATATTACAGTGAACCTTCAACAAGGGATAATTAAAGATCTCTTTGTTAAATTAGCAAAATGGTGTTAACTTGTGAGAATCGTTACAAGTTTGTTGCATGCAAATTATCACGAAAATCTAATGACTGGATTTGCTACAAATAAACAAAACCGATTTTAAAGGCCTTTTTATTTTTATTCATGTTGCCATGGCAACGGCACCCACGTCAGCTTAACCATCAAAAAAGCAAAGTTTGTGTTGTTAACTTGCTTGCTGCCATTTTTGGCGACCGAGAGATCAAAAAGGTGAATGAAACACAGGTATCAAATACTGTGTTCAGCCACCTTAATCAGGGTTCAATTCGCTCGGAAAACACAAGAAATGAAAAGAATCACTATATCTTGATTAAGGAAGAAGATATTGTATTTACAAGCGCAGACGAAAACGAGTTTGATAAACATCGCTACATGTCCAGGAGTCAATTTGATAAAACTTTTACACTTGTGTTAAATCCACAAGTCGGACTATTGTATTTACAAGCGCAGACGAAAACGAGTTTGATTACTAAAAATCGTTACAAATCCAGGTTACAAGTGTCCGACTGGTTATTACAGGTGTAGCGCTACACTTGTAAAAGATAGTAAGAATCAAGTTAATAAAACTTTTACAAGACTCCGAATTGTATTTTTTTTCAAGAGTCCAACTTGTAAATCACAAGTGCAAAATACTAGTCGCATGTCATTTGCAAACATTGAGTACGGCTTCTGAAAAACATATTAGAGCGTCAAAACATATCGTCATCTAGTGAAGAGGAACTCGACGAACTCATGAGACGTCAAGTTATCCACCAACCTAGGAGTTTTGAAGAAAGACGGCTTTTTGACATGGAAAATACAAGAGAATTCCAAGAGAGTTATTTCTGTTTGCTGCAAAGAAAAACACTAAAATACCGATTTAGTCAGGCTTAAAAGCGGAGCTCCCACAAAATCTTCATCATCTACTCGACACAATAACCTTTAAAGAAATTCAGCGATAAGCATTTCATTAGTAATCTAATTTAATCAGGAATCTACATTTAAACACAATATGCATATCACTTCGTTTGAGTATCGAATAGCTAATCTCGTCTCAACGAAGGATGACCGAATGAAAGAAATGTTAAAGAAACTTCGTTTAATAATGATTATCATTCAAGGTAAAGCCAAAAAATTCATTTAAAAGCCGGAAAACATCCAAAATTTCAAAGACTTGCGATATACAAATTTAATAAGCATTAACGCCATTAGCGTGATTTAAATATTATATTTGCCGACGGCTTTGCAGTCATTTTATCGGCCGTAGCTTTACCAGTCTTAGCTGTAGCGATATTTCGCAGAACAAGAACAATATATCGCTAAGCTGAACACTGCCAGTACTCAGGGAAATAACGCGACGTCTGTTACAACAATGGCTTCGCGATATTTCGCGTGATATATCGTTTCAAGCAAAATATCATTCAAATATCGCCGAAACATCGCGAGTATCGTGATATTAATCGGTTATCGTTTTGCATTAATTTTGCACAGTACTGCTGTAGGAGAAGTTTCTCCCTTAATCGTTCCAAATTGTCCTTATAGAGGGATATCTTCTTGAAGGAAGTTACTGATAGTTTTAATGTAGGCTGTCACATTATGCTCTTCGTTTTCTTTCTCTAATTGTAAACTCATGTCAACTTCTTGTTATCAGTTTTTCATGTGCTTTGCTCTGCCGCATGATATGTTATGAACCACAAGTTAAGATTTAGTATTTCCAGTTATTCTGGCTTTGCAGTCTAGTTTTAAAGTAGCAGGTCTTTAACGTTTTCCAGCAGTAGCACAGACCTTGCTAATGGAGATATCTTATTCAGCAAGCGTAATGGTCGCGTTAAGTGAGGTGCTCGGCTTTTTTTTTCCACAGAACGATCTAACCTTGCTGTTACTCTGTGTAAAAGTGGCCCTCCTTGATTTGATCTACGGTGGTCTCATGCTGAAATCTGGATAATTTAGCTGAGTCTACTAAAAGCATGAAACTTTGTAACGCCTAAAAACGAAATTTTTTACACAATTTTCTTTTCCCTTTGACAAAAAATATTATCACAGGTAGGTCCTTAGGAGACCGAAGAACTGGGTACATGTCTACACATAACTTAAGGGAGACTGCCTCAGGTTTTAGACTTGTATGGAAGATTCCATGCAGTGCTAGTAGGTTTAAAGAAAATTGGTTTGAGGGGAAGCCGAGTTAGAAGCCTGAACAAGACGAGCCAAGTATCCATTCTTATTCTCGAGCAAAACTTCAGGTTTGTCAAACTCTACCACTCGTCCCTGCTCCATAACCAACACTTTATCATAGTCCATGATGGTGTTCAAGCGATGAGCGATGATTACTACAGTGGAATCTTTAAATCTGTCGCGTATAACTACTTGAATCAGTCTGTCTGTCTTGAAATCCACATTAGCAGTGGCTTCGTCCAGAATGATGATCTTGCTTCTTTGTAACAGCGCCCGCGCTAAACAGACCANTCTTATTTTGAAGCAAAACTTCAGGTTTGTCAAACTCAACCACTCGTCCCTGCTCCATAACCAACACTTTATCATAGTCCATGATGGTGTTCAAGCGATGAGCGATGGTTACTACTGTGGAATCTTTAAATCTGTTGCGTATAACTTCTTGAATCAGTCTGTCTGTCTTGAAATCCACATTAGCAGTGGCTTCGTCCAGAATGATGATCTTGCTTCTTTGTAACAGCGCCCGCGCTAAACAAACTAATTGGCGCTCTCCGACACTGAAGTTGCTCCCGGACTCTCTCAACTTGTAATCAAGCTGGTCAGGAAATTGTTGTACCAGGGTCTTCAGCTGCACATCTTCCAATGCACGCCACAAATCATGATCATGATACAAAGAGAAAGGGTCTAGGTTCTTCCTGAGGCTGCCGCTGAAGAGGACAGGATCCTGGGTTATTACGGCCATGGACCTGCGAGACGCCTGAAGATTGAGATCCTTGATGTTCACACCATCTATAATGACCTGGATATAGTGAATGAAGAATCGTGTCGAATTGTCAATCACTCCGGAAGATATTGCTCTACCACGCAATAACTAATTAGAGTGAATATAATAATATAAAAGATGACATATTTGAACTGCGTAGAAAGATATGATTGATCATCGCAGTAATGCACACAACTTGAGCAGTTGTGAAATTAAGGCCTGAAAAAAATTCAGGCTTAAATGGGAATTGAACCCACGACCTCCGTGATACCGGTGCACTGCTCTACCAACTGAGCTATCAAGCCAACTGGGAGCTGGTAACATTGTGAGTTTTTTATATACCCGTAAATTGAGGCTGGAGTCTTTAATTTGTACAACTGTTTAAGTTGTGTGTATTGTTGCGATGATCAATCATATCTTCATAAAATAAGTACGAGATGACAACATAGGAACGGTCTCCAAATCAGTTGCTTATTGATTCACTCATTGATCACTTCTTCTTCTCCCAAGATCTTTATTGGTATTTTCTAAACACTGCGGCTCAGTGAAACTAAAACTCATGTTTCATCCGCTACAAATCACAGAACTAAAACTCGAAGTAACTATCAGTACCTCTCCTTCAGGTTCTGGCATTCGGAACAAAGCCGTCGCTAAAGATGATTTCCCAGCACCAGTGCGACCAGCAACACCAACCTTCTCCTTATCAGCGATACAGACGCTTATGTTGTTCAAAATTGCCGGTGCTCCTTTCAAATAGCTCAACGACAAGTCACGTAAAGTCAAGCTGCCCGTTGTCGGCCACTCTTTAGGTGGAAGGGCTTCAGTGCCGTACCCAGGCTCTGGCTCAATTTCGGTGTACGTGAACACCCTCTCTACTGAGGTCATGTGATTTTCTGTTTCCGAAGCCATACGGATGCCATATTGTGAGGCATCTAAAGTCTCGGCTGCAAAACTGAGCGACATACCTGCCAAAGCTAGAAACAAAATGAATAATGTCTTCTTTCATATTACAATAAATCCTAAGAATGTCTGCTATCCACGTTCAACTAGTGGAGATGGAAATGAAGAAAGCGACGCTAAGTTTTATGATAACTTCAAATTTGTTTCTCGCTTACACATGTGGAGTAAGATGACTAGGGGTGTTGCTGTTCTTCTTGGGATTCCAGTCGACGAAAACATCACATTCTGTCACCAATATTATTAGATGGCACCTAAACGAGGTTCATGCATATCGGATACCCCCTCTAAAACAATTTGATGGCCAGTTAATCTTTATTTACACAATTAAAACATTAAATACGACACCAGGGTCGTCTTGAAATCTGTGCAATTAAAGGAATAGTTTCACGGTCACGTGAAAACATAGTACACTGAAAATTCGCTGAATGAAATGAAATTTCGAAGTAAGGAAAATTCGTGGAGAAATTTCATTGTCAGTCGGTTAAATCTAAGCGAAAGTTGGAAGCAACGAAAGTTCGAACAGACTATTTAACATTTCCTTACGTTTCAAGATACATGTAAATCCATCTTACATCTTACGTTTTGTGCACTGACGCTGGTTGGTGCATGCGTAAATGGTGGCCAAGGCAATTGATTCAGTCTGTCATATGATGAACTTACCAGGATTTTGTGTTGCTAACGAAGCTCCAGCTGACACGGAAATCACAAGAAAGTTACTCAAAAGGTCTCCTCGAAACGCAAGCCAACGTGTAGCGGCCTTCAATAAAAACAGAGCTGCTGTGTTTTTGTCTTGATATCTCCAAGGAAATGAAAAACAAGAGGCTTAGTGTTATTGGGTTCACTTCGAGTTTTCACGTTAACGTTACAATGGTGTTATATATCTACCCCTGAACCATAAAATATAAGCCTTACCTCCTTATAGGCTACCTCAAAGTGGTCAGCTCACAACGTCATTTAATTTAGACATGTGAGAATATAAGGACACTTACTTGTAAAATTTTTGAAGAAAATCGTTCTCCATCTCTAATGATCGAATTACTTCCAATCCTGCCACAGTGTCAGCAATGAGGGAATACACTGGACTGCATGTTATCGCCTCAAGTCGCCTGATCTCCCGAGCGGATATCAAATAATATTTGGCGAGGTAAATAAACAGCACTGTCAACGGAGCACAAGTGATAAAAAGCCAAACATTTACTACTGCTGAAAGTATGGCAGCAGTGAAAAAGTACAGGCACAACTGAATTGCAAACAGAAACTGTCCTGGAAGGATATCGTCCATGCAACCAACATCTTTGGAGAATCGGTTTAAGATACGACCAACTGGATTCGTGTCAAAGAATAGGACTGGTGCATTCATAACTGCTTTTGTCATCTGGTCATGAAGGTTTTCTGAAGCTTTTAGAGCAGCGAGGTAGAAACAGAAGGAGGAAATTGTCGTAAGAAGTAAGGAGCCCGTAACAATGGATCCGTACACCAAAAGCGTTGGGTAGCTCTTCTGTTGATTGAATGGCATCTCAGTCATCCGTGATAGCCACCAAGAAGGCGCAATCAAGAACACTGAAGAAGGAAAAGCCACAATACATTTGGGTTATTGACCAAGCTTATTTCCCTAATATCCTTATACTAATATCTATTTAAGAGGACTTCGTTACTCATTATGCGACATTTGCATACCCTTGAAATACCAAAAAATCGTGCACTAAAAATGACTACCTACCCTGACCAATAGCGAAGAAAATGATGAGACTAATTATCAGAATCTTTGGGAGTGTAGCTCTAAAGTACTTCCAGTACAGCCACCACTTAACGCTTCCAACCATTCTCTCCTCTTCTTCATCTTTCAGATCCATCCTGTCACGATGTTCTATAGCGGAATTCATTGATTCGGAAGCCTCATCACTAAAAACTGAAACATCCTCTCTATTTTTATCCTCGCCATCGAAATCTTGCTGTTGTTGAGGAAGAAAACAGGACGCCGCTTGTCTGTATTGCTCTATTCCACTGTAGGTTCCATGACAAACAACGGAGCCATTCCGAAGAATGACAACGCTGTCTGTTTCTTTCAGAAACTGTAACTGATGAGTGACCAGAATACGCATGCGCCCGTCTAAGAACTCTTTGATGCATCTATCAAACAAATGTCTACCAACTTTGGCATCCACTGCACTGAGTGGATCATCCAATAGGTAGATGTCTGCATCTGAGTAGATTGCGCGTGCCAGACTGACACGTGCTCGCTGACCACCACTTAGGATCACTCCACGTTGTCCAATCTCAGTTAGATCACGTTTCGTAAAGCTTGCGATATCTTTCTCCAAGTCACAAACTTTGATAACCTTATTGTACTTTTGCTCATGGAACTCTTTGCCAAAAACGATGTTGTCTCGCACAGTACCAGAATAGACCCATGGCGTTTGGGAGACAAAAGCCATTTTTCCAATAAAAGACATTTTACCAGAGGAGATTGGGATTTCACCCAAGATGGTCATCAGCAATGATGTTTTGCCGCTTCCAACTGACCCTGTTATGCCCACAAGTTGCCCATTAGTAGCATTCAATGATACATTATCTAAAGTAGGACGTTCTGACGTATGGCTCCAAAAACATGTAACATTCTCAATAAAAATCTGTGGCTTGATGTCCTGACATGTTTGTTCAAGTTTCCTAGCACTGAGCAGAGCCGGTTTTCCATTTTGAAAGCTCTCAATTCTAGTAAATTGGGGTTTATACTTTCTAGTTTTGAATTTTTGGTGATACACTTTGCGTGTTAAAATGTATCTTTTTTCAATCAGTCGCTGCATCCTACTGCATGCAGTTCTTGCATCTGCAATACGGCGAAGTGACTCTGCTATGTAGATTGTGACTACCAGTTTTAGGTTACCTAAGAGGGTCATCAATGTGAAGACTTTAAAGGACGTGAGTGAATTTTCCGTGAATAGCAGAGTGGTGACTGAAACGAGTCCCGCCATGGCAGAGCTGGTGAAGAACAGCGCGTAGATACTCGAGACAATGAATCCTCGGGTACGAATCAGTGAGATTTCACTTCTGCCAAAAAGAAATTGAAACACCTAGAGTTAATATGATTTAAAAACTTTAATAAATGGTCTCTAAAAGAGAAAACGGGGCTTTATTGAGGAATATTTTCCTGTACATGAAGTCTCTATTTTCATTTCTTTGAAGTCGTATTAATTTATTATGATTCAGTTTAATACCCAAAGCTCTAATCTACTTCTGATAGCTCAATGGAGGGCGCTAGAGGAATTCATAAGGGACAGAACGCTTATTTCTCTGTTACCAGAAACAGCTGAATAAAAACCAAGATACTAGAGGTGTAACAATAGGGGCTCTGATAGTCATAATGCTCAATATTGCCTTCAGATGAGAAAGAAGACTATTATTCTTTCTGCCAATCAGTTTAATCTATTTCAACGTGTTAAGTGCTACATTCGCTACGAGGAACACTTATTCGATCGCTTATTGGAATGAGGGTACTACGGTTCATTAAAAGATAATGGATTTGTATATTATACAACCCCACTGTGTGACAGTCGTGGCTTGGCTTTACACTGAAACGTTTTGTTGAAATGGCACAGTTCTCGGCCAGCAACAGGAGGGAGGGGACGTATCCAGGCAAATCAGTGGTTTAGTCATAACTGCCAGTGTGACGTCACGTGAAACATGAATTGCAAATGAAATTGCGCCAAGAAAAGGTAAACAATTTAGACTATGTGGACGTTTCGGGCCTGGCCCATCTCCTGATGAAGGGGGGGACTCTTGTATGAAAAGGTCGGGAATGCTATCGTCTTTCCTAAGGGTGTAAATCATAGATTTTGGTCTAGCTTGGCGTGTTTAGGACAAAACACCAGTATTTTTAGCTATCTTTAAGGGTGCACTTGAAAAAATAACAATTAAATGCTCTCATTTCCGTTTTCCCTCGTTGTCTCGGGTCCAATCTAGTAGCCAGGGCTCCTTTCCTGAACAGACTGGTCTAGGGGTTTACTGACGAGCAGTCTCCGACCTTTTCATTTAGGAGTCCACCACCGGGGTCCTTTTTCAGTGCTACGTGTTGACGAGAGGCTACACGTGGGATTGTGGCCGAACTGATAAACAAACCTTCTTATCTGTGCAACCAGATCTGCGAAGGTCCATTCCCAGGCGTACATCTTAACCACGCGGATTCCTGTAATGATCTCTTTCATTATCTCCAATCGTTTGTCGGTCACTGCAGCTGATTGGTGGCGTACCTTGCCAGCCTTATGAGCTGCAAATGATCCATACGCAATAACAAGAAGAAAGAAAGAAGCTCCTATTAAGGCTTGCCATGCGACTAAGTACCACACAAGCACCATGGAGGCAATAATGTCCAGTGGAACAAGGAAAAAATTGTACACGGCTACACCCATTTGCTCAATAGTTTGAGCATCGTTGGAAACAAGATTAATAGTGCTTTCTGAGATAGTGCCTTCCAAAGTACATCTATTTAGATTAAGGATCTAGAGGGGAAGAAAAAAATAATAAATGTTTTTTTCAATATATTGAGAGCTCCAGGAAATGATTCCAGCGTAACTAAAAAGAAATTGTTTCCAAATGGTGAAAACGCTTGTTAAAAAAGTAGTCTGCATGGGGCGTATTAAAGTGAATGTTGTCGGCGTTCTTTTCTAAAACGTTAATAATTTATAGTTACAGAAATATAAAACTCTTGGGTATATCAAAAGATCAAGACTTTCTCAAAAAGTCTTTCGTGGTTTTAAGGGCGCGTCGGAGCAGAAAACTTTCATCAAATGCAACGCGTCACACTACAGGCAAGAAACGCAAAACGTGTGACCGCAAACAGACTATGGCCAGGTGAACTGACGCTAAGCTTTCTTTTCACCATGATCGATTGTTTGCAAAACGAACAGGCAGAGTGCACGAGGAAACAAGTGAAAGGTCTTTAGCTTTGGGTAGCCCAAACTACCCCATTCTGAGCTCGGACTACGATGTATACATGTATAAGAAGTGAAGGAATGACTAGGAAACTCGATGATTTCGGTCGCTTTACCCAATGCATTGTGTTTTGTATTGGTACTCGTATCGAAGAATGAATATAATTTATTAAACGTTTTGTCGTAGTTTCTTAGTACCGTGCATGAAGTTTACTTTGAAATAACGTCTAACTTGTGTTGGACGCTGTGGACAACGTCGAAATGCTCACTAATGAGTCGAAAAAGAAAATTGTTCAACTCGCTTGTTGAAAGAAAAGAGGATTTACAACTAATCCCACCAGAGACTCGACAGTCAAAGAAATTCGGGCTATAATGACTTCACCTCATGCGGTCCTCTGCAAGAGAATGAAGTCGAGCCTCTTTCTCTCTCTCTCTTCGCACTCGGAACATTTTTTCGCTGACACAGTTTTTCTCGTTTTGAGCTTAGCTTTTGAAGCTGGATATCAGAAGTTGAGAAAAATTACCAAATTGTCCAAACATGTACAAAGGATTACCATTCCCTTTGATGAACAATTTCAAAAGAAGTGGACAGCACTTGCCTTTTTGTACACTAGTCCAATCGTCGCTACTTTCAGTTTGGTTGATATAATTTCCGCCTTGAATGACCCATGATTTGACCATAAAGTTATTGTAAAGACAACGACAGAAATACCAATGACAAACGGTAGCGTTGCCTCGTAACTGATCTCTGAGGAAGTAGAAATGCTTTTCAAGAAAAACCACACAATCAAAGGAAATATATTAAATGCTATAGCATAAAGCATCCTGAGGAACGCTACAATGACATAGTCTCTGCAGGGAATAACTCTCATCATGGCCCGCCACAGGCAAGGCTTTGTTCGGTTCTGTTCAGACGCTCTTTCTTCTGCCAGCCATTCCCTCTCCAAGTCAGCCACCAACCTTTCTGCTTGAAGGGAAGTTTCTACTGTAAACAAGTGTTTCTCTTCTAATGGTTGCTTGCTCCCCAGTCTAAGAACATTGTTTATCCAGGAAAAAGTCAACAACGAGAGGAAACCTGCCTCGTGTCTTGGATTCCGAACGGAGGTATCTTCCATTGGTGGAAACCTACCGGACGTAGATACAAAGAAAGTTACACACACTGTACAATTCCTGTTGCAATTGTCTTTAACCCCTGCATTCAATGCTTCAAGTCAGGTAGACATGGTAGAAGACAAGGAAAAACAAACAAAGTTTCAAACGCAAAATCCTGTTGTACTCCTCTTTGATCGAATCTCTACGTGCAGATTGTTTATTGGTTCAAATGGACCAGAGGGATAAATAGTCCTCACTCTGTTTTGCTCATTGAAGTCGCATCACTTTAAAGAGAAAGAAGGCTTTTGCTAGTTTGATCGGTGTAGGTTTTCATTTGAGCCATGAAAACTGATTGACTTGGCGCATGACAATTTGAGTTTAATGAGAGAAAGAAGGATTTTATTAGTTTGACCGGTGTTTTGGTTTTCCCTAGAGTCTGCAGGCTCGATTTGTTCTCCTGCGGATATGTTCTGTGAATATGAAACAATGTTTTGGTTCGATCTTCTTCCTTTTAGTCATTTTCAATCCATTCTTTGATGCAAAAACGATGACGATCCTTTTAAAAACCGGCTTGATATGAATCTCCACTTTTTCACGGATCTATCGAAATTTTCTAAATTTCTAACTGGAACTCATGTTTCATCAGACACCAACACGTTCTGGTCTCTAGAACTCTTTTTGCCCCTTAACCGGCGCGGTCTAGACGCAGGGAAAACGTCAGAAAAGGTGACTGCAGAAACATGATTTGATTGGTTGATTCTTAGACTAAGATTGTTACCAAATTCCTCGCTTGTTCCTTACTGGTTGATTTCTCCCTGAAATCGTTCGATTAAAATTCACGAAGTTTAAAAGTGGCTTACAGCGAGAACTGTTCAGTGAAGTCCTCTAGTAAATTTAAAAGGAAAAACATGAATTCCGCTTTGGCCAAAACTGAAGGCTTCACTCTGTAGATGCTCTAATCGACCAGTTTAATCTAAAAATCAACCACAGCATAATTTCGGGAAAGAGGCCAGCAATTAATTAGTGAAAATCTTTTCAAAGAATCTAGCCTGAATCAAATCGATCATATATCTCTAGAGTCGCCTTTTTGAACAAATTAACACCAACATTGAGTCATTGTCGTGAGTACTTTTCCACCGATTCCAAACAATATTCAACCGGATAAGGACTGAGCTATCTACGTGTCTGTCGCGACTGGAAATAATCAACTAATGCAATCAAAATATAGCTTTTCCCACGGTTAACATCCGGAAAGCCAAGGCGCTTCAAAGTCGTGTTCGTTTTAAAACAAATAAATTAAACAAGGACAATTCCATCAGATTCAGATTTCGATAAATGCCACCGTCGAGGCGTTTAAATTCACCTAAATCCAACGCTGCGAACCCAATTGAATACTTACAGCTTCCAAATTACAGTGTAAATGTCCACAAAAACCCGCACTTGAACGAAACGAAGACCCGCACTCGAAAGAAATGTACAGCACATGGTTTGGCGATGATGTCATTCGTTTCGCCCCTGCTACAGGGCGGCCAAATCGGTGTCGCAACTTCGGACGAAGGTCCACCGTCGCATCAAACTGACTCAAGTCTGCATTAGGACTGCGTTCTACGAACGCAATTACTGTAATGTATTTTTTATATAACGGGACTCGTGATTGGCTCAAAATTGAGTGGCGTGACCAGACATGCATGAAGCTCGAAGTCGTCGCTAAAAATAAAGACAACAAAATATGCCTTTGATTTATGAGAAACGGGACTGTATAAGCGAGTTTCTTTGGCGCAAATTCATTTTTCGCTTTTTCTTCGTGATAATAGCCCAGCTTATGACATTTCCCTTTAACAAGTCGAATTAACTGGGAGAAAACCTGTCTAAACGCAAACACTGAACATTGAGTTTGAATTTGCTTCCCTAAATATTGCTATAACAGCGAAATGTTAGTCACAACTTTTCTATTTGGACAGAGTTCTTGAATTCAGAACACATGATGTCGCGTCGAAAATTGTTACTACCGGCTTCCCGAATTAAGTTCGACGCAAGTACGCCGTCTGATCCAGCCGTCGCTCCATAGTCGCTCTGAAGTTGGTTCGGCACATGAGTGAAGCGGCGTTTGGACCGGGCCTAGAGTGTCTGCGACGCAGGCTAGTAAGGCGAGACAAAATACAAACAACGAGTAAAAATATAAAGCGATTCTACACACCAAAGCATCTAATAAGAGTTTTATTATCCAACTCTAGTCAATAAGTCGTAGTATTTCTTATTGTAGTCAATAAATCTTATGCTGTAGTCAATAAATTTATCAATGAAAGAGGGAGAGTATCTGGAGTGTGACAGTTCCACTGTACAAATAACTGTACAATATCGCTGTATATTTGTACTGTTATTTGGACGGTATTCGCTGCAGTTAGACAATAAATATCGCCAGGCAATGCTTATGAGCGGTAATGACTGCTTTAACTACATTGGTACACGATTAAGCGTTAAGGCAGTACACATAACTGGGTGACCAAATACACCATTGACACTTAAGCTCAAACACGAAAGGTTAAAAGACGTTATACTTCATTGCAGACTTCAGTTTAAGTTGCGTCGGACTTGAAATACTACAACCACAGGTATTGAACAGCTCATATAACATGATCAGTTGGGTTTGCTTTCAGCTAGACATGAAATGATGCAAGAGATCGTTAAAAATGTCTCTTGTGTTTACGGTCACTTCATTTCACTTCTTCGGGGATTACAGGCCATTAGAAATGGCGAAAGTATTAAAAGTATTACAACGCAGTAGTGGAATACTAACTTTGATGTGAATATAAATCACTTACCTCCTAAAAATCAGCTCAAGTTATGGTGTAAATATATCAAGGTCTATCAAGCGAAACGTATCTCGCTCAGCCAAGCGTGATGGTCACGCGATCTTTTCTCGTATCATGGGCACAAGTGTCAGGGCAAACAAGGAGTCACAGCAAAAATTAATGTGACTTAACTGACGGCAAGACAAAGATAGCTGGCGGGTAAAAAAAAACCATACACGGCAAGGCAAAATTACTCACGGCAAAACAAAATTTACAGCAGATTTGCACGTTGTCATCATTTGACTACAACTACCAGAATTCCTTTCGTTTTTTCCTTGTTATTTAAATTTTGAATTCCCAGTTGGGTTTAAATAACAATTGCCCTAATTAACAAAAGAAACAGAAAAAGTGAAGGATTCTAGTCAAATAACGCCATCAGGCAAATCGCCTATTCATGGGACTCATCGGTCGTTCACGAGGCAACAAAAACTGGTTGGTCAGTAGTTGGTCAGCGGTTGTCATTTGCAGACAAATGGTGCCTCGTGTATGGAGTGAGCGAATAATCCTCTCGGAAACTCTCATGTTCAGGTCAGTTTTCTCGAAATATTTTGTAGCAGCTGTGGATTGGTAGTTGACCAAATTGCCTACTTGTCTAGTAAGGACAAAGACAAAGGCTTTTGTTATGCAACCAAGTTGCATATTTGTTCATGTTGTGTGGCACGGATTCCTAAAACCAAAATCGGCAACCCGGATTCACTGGTATTGGGAACGACGACAGAAATAATTCATTTCAGCAATGTCCAATGAAGAAATATAGGGAAAGATATGTTGTTGTCTCATTCCTTTACTTCAACCACTAATTGTAACCTACAGAGGTCTATACATCCGGCCCCGGTTGTTCAAAAGGTGGATAAATCACTATTTAGTCAGGGTTAGTGATTGCCCAGATATTAAAGAACTTGAAGGGGGTGAATAGGTTTTCGGATCGACGGATTTGGCCTTATAAAGCGCACGCATTTTGGATTTTTGCGGTAAATCAAGTGGATTCGCGGATTTTGAGAACACAGTGGATCGAGGATCAGCTGTGAATTTTGGCGCGGATTCTGGATTGTGCCTGTCTTGATGTTCGGATCTTGGGTCCTAAACGAAATTTGGATCATAGATCTTTCTTCAGCTTTGGTCGGTATGTTAACGAGTTCATCCAAATCATTTCTTTTTTCGGACAAAGCTCATTCAAACTCAGGTGTGAGACTGTTGTTGGAATCGTAATGTGTTATAGTCATCAAGTTTGTTGCCTTTTTCATTATTTGTGCGAAATTACTAGTAACAATGGCATTCACATTTACCTTTCCGGGTGTAATTGTGCTTTCGGATCTGAACAAAAATATCGGCGGATCGACGGATTTGGCGAAAAAAAGGCACGGATCGACGGATTTGCATACCCCTACTCACCCCCCTCCCCCCCCCCCC